CAAATATTGATGATATCTCAAAAGCTAAACGCCAGTTTCACAAATTTCACAAACCTTTTTTGATGCTTAGTTTGTGAGATTCGGATATGTGCGTACTGGGTGTGATATAACTATCTTATTTCTGACGTCGCCTTCTTTGATAACTTTTTGGAAAATAAACATGTTTGTTGTCTTAATTTTTTGTGTATTCACTGTATTGTATTGAACAAAATGGTTATGCGACCCGCGCTCGTCATTTTCTCAGTTATCTGGCCCGCTGTGAAAAAATTTGGTGACCCCTGATCTAGCACAACAGCCAAATGTAAAAATAGGCATAACTTTCCCGACGCCTTTGATCATGCATAACAATGCCCAAGGGCAAGGTTAGTACAGAATGGTCAATAACATTTTGTTTATCTATAACTTATAACTAAGTACAGAAATGTATGATAAAATTAAAAACAACATTTTAAAGGATATATATTAATATACAAAGTTATAGTGTGGCTTTTTTCATTATATCTGCACACTACCACTTTTCTTAGACTACTTTATCTTAGACTAACCCTACTTTTAACATTAAAACGAAGGCTAATTTTAAATCACAATCCAGCCTGACACAAGAGAATCTGGACAAAACCAAACCACGACATTGGCAAAGGACAATGTGTAACATATTTAAACTCTTTAATACATTCAGCATTCAAAAGTAAATAAATACAAGAAACTTAGCTACTATAAAATTGTTTGCATTATCAACAAAGAAAGGCGAAGTCTTATATAATATTAATGCACAATAAATGTTTATAATTACACTTGAGTTATCAGTTAAGAAAGGTGATGTTAAATTATTTATTTCTAAAACATCACTATGGGCAGTACCGGAGCCATTGGCCTCGATTACATTGTTGTTGGTCATTTCCAGGATTTGGGTGACTTTTTCTTGGATCTTATTATAATTTGGAAGTGGAAGACTAGAGAGAAGGCAACTAGTCATCACCACCCACCGCCAACTCTTGGGCTACTCTTTTACCAACGAATAGTGAGATTGACCATCACAATATAACACCCCCACGGCTGAAAGAGCGAGCATGTTTGGTGGGACGGGGATTCGAATCAGCGACCTGAAGATTGCGAATCGAGTCAAGCAGTGTGAACCGTAGAAGATATTGGGATACTTCAAGTCCTTCAAGTGAGACCACCACTATAGCCAGTGCATACCAACTTTGTACTGGTGAATGACAATAGACTATATATTAGAGAAGTGGACCTTTGTCTCAGTCTTAGAGGTGTTGCCCATATAATTCAAATAGTTGTTTCTGTTCTCAGATCTGGAATCAGCAGAAACGATATAGGGATAGATGGACACGACAAGAAGAAGAATTTGAAATCAGCATCCTTGCGATGGATGTACTGTGGAGTTTGTCTAACAGCTTTGCCTGTGCAATGAATGAGTTGATGTTCCACAGAAAAGTCCTCTATAATGGCACTTAGATACAGTCGAGGAACAATGGGCTGCATAAGTGTATGTAGCAAAAGGAATGATAATATCTATATGTACACAAGAGGTGTTATTTGATTTAATGGTCGTCAAAGTCATGCGTGAAATTAGTGACCTTTATTTTCTGAGTCCTGAGTGGTAACGTGAAACGCTGTGTATACGCTACACTATATGTCTACAGCCTGATACTCGAAACTAGGATGAACAATTGAATGATATATTGTTGAGTGAAACTGTTTCAACCCTTGGTTTCCAAGCCACTGAGTAATGTTGAAAGTATAGTATGCACTATATTGTAGAGTTACTGCTTGATCATCAAAACTAAGACAGTCATTGTTTCATGCAATTAATGACTGAAAGGAAATAGCATTCCTTGCTTCAGGGGTTTTTCTAATGCGCAGTTGATCACAAATTGTGCACCTGTAAAAATATTTGTGCAATTGAAAATTCACCTATATAAGTTAGTTCAATTGGAAAAATATTGAAAAAACATATTTAAGATTATAAGATTCCATTCCAGAGTTGATAAATAATGTATTTACTAGAACATTTTTCATTTTTTGAATCATTTGCTACTAGGCAATAAGGCAATAAGGCATCATGTATTAAAAATGATGATGTTAACATATAATTGCGCAGTTGAAAAATCATTTGGTAAAGCTCTGCCTTGCTTTCTGAACTATTGAGTAGTAAAGTCTAGCAGGATGTACAATCTACATTTTGCAGATGCTACTTTATTATTAACAGTTAGAAGAGTTGCTGATTAGCATGATTATGGAGTGAAAGGAAGTGGAATTCCTTGCTTTCGAAGTTATAGAGTGGTGTTGATATGTGATGTATGTACTATAATGTAGAATTATCACTTGATTATCAACATTTAGGATGACTATGTGACTGAAAAATCAATGAGTGAAAGGGCAACATAATCCCTTGCTTCCTGAACCACTGAGTGAAAATTCTTGATGCAAAACGTCCATTAATGTTTCAATAGCTGAGTAGTGAAAACTCTGCAAAGTATACAACCCGGTACTCACTACGTTTTTCATTAATCTTTATGGAAAATACACTGGATCAACAATCAACAAGTCCAGCTTTCTTTGAATGTGTATTGGAGTACAATATTAGCAGGACAATTTTAATCCTGGTAAATAGACCTTTACATCATATATCCTGATTTGGCCGAATTTTACCTGTGATTGTTTAGTTTTTGAAGTATGAAATAAAAATTAGTTGAGTTTGACAGCCCCTAGACAACATTACTGTTGTTACCAAGCTTAGCTTCAGCAAGTAATTCAAACGTTACTGAAATGGTTCGTGTTGTAGCAAGAAACGACATATATATACTACCAGAGTTGTTGACAAATCATGATGGCGGAAGAATTATATGGCTATGTAAACCAAAAATGTAGAATATACACAAAGAGTGTATAATAATAAATAAGAAGGAAAACTGAAAGTAGAAAATGAGAGCATGGAAACAAAGGAATGGATCTCTACGTTAAGCATTTATGAATACGAGTATGAATATGATGAACAACCTGGAAAGTGTTATTGGAAATACAGTGTATTTATGAATTTAATTAATACCAAAAGAAAGTTTTAATTTCAATATTGAGATGTTTTGCAGGTGGTGAATTTGTTAAAGAAGAGACAACAAAAGTAAAGAGATTCACACTGTGAAAAAAACAAACAAAAAAAAAACGCAAAAACGCCTATAAAAACCGCAAAATGTAAAACTGGAAATTTGTATCTAAACCCGCATGGACCCTAATGAACATCCATACCAATTTTGGAGAAAATCCATTCACACCCAGATAGTATTATTATATTTATACAGAAGACACTACAGAATTCAAATTTCCATTAAGGTTGTTAAAAATAATTATACATTAAACTGAGCCTCTATTTCAGCAGTTTTGTTAGGAAAATATTACAAATCATTTTATTAAAATTGTATTCAATTTCCGACTTTAGCGTGTGTTAAAGTCTAAGAGGAACCCACCTATGATATTGAAGTGGTATCAACCGAACAGGTAGACTAAGGTGTGGACGCCGAATGGGCGGAGTTATGTTTGAATGTCGTAGATTAAATGTTACTCGTTACAATGTTGTAGTAGTATAAATTTTCCGTATTATTTACCTTCGGCAACTAATATCTCAGTTTTTTTCGTTGTTGATGGTCATTTTGTATTTTAAGTTAGACCAAACCCCAGTAATATTATAAGTGTTTATTTGGAAATGACGAATTTAAATTTGTGGTACGTTATTATTTGTTTTTTTATCATCTCAACATCAGGTAAGACAAAGATAAATAACTTTACCTAGTGAAGGTGTTAGTTGCGTGAAATTGTAATTTATAAATACACTGTTATGTAACTTGTGTAAGGATAATATAGTATCACTTATTGATATTAGGCCTAACAAAGGGCATTGGTGAACTTTTATTTATTGGCAGACATGTTACTTCTAAAATAAGTGACCATTATTTATTTCTAATTAGGTCTTATTGCAAACAAAGTAGTTTGTTTGATTTTACTTAGTTAGAGTAACTTAATAATAAGCAGGAAGAGAACTAAAGTTTGTAATAAAAATCACCCAAGCTGCAGTTTATCAAAAATTTTAGGCCTATGGGTTTTCAAAATCAAAGATCCATTAGTTTTTGGAATTTAACCCGTAACATTTTCTAATAGGCAGCAAATCAAATAAGAGTAAAGATAGTAGTCTGTAATTAGATATTCTTCAAGTTTCAACTGAGAAGTAACAGAGTTAACACCTTTCATGCCTGTCCCTGGAACAGTGGAACTTGGAAGTTTATTTCAAGAACTAATTAATCTATGTGAATAAAAAGAGGTTTTCGTACTCATAGCAATACTCTGTAAATGTCTTAAGCTTTTTCAGTTTTTAAAACTTCAAAATGGTTACTGGTTCTGTGGTTATTTGCATGATTATAAAATTTACCAAAACATGGGTGTTTGGTTTTGATAAATAGATTAGACCTTTATGTCATTTTCTCTTCACTTATTCTCTTCTTATTTCTGTAATAGAATAGTTGGATTATGGAATAGTTTGCCTTCTATTGTGATAGAAGCTGCAGCATTAAATGAGTTTTAGAGAAAATTGAATGAGTATTTTAAAGATCAAAGTTAGATACATCAAAAAAGGAGTTTCTATGTGTAATTTGTTGTAGGTTGGTAGTAGAAAATATGTAATGTACACAGGTGAAATTACCTTTTATTATTCCAAGGAAATTAAATAAAAGCCCAGTGTAGTAGAAACCTACAGACTTTTCTTTTAGTAATGGGCCCAAGCAAGTCTTTGAAGAATGTGTGGACACTCCATTCTTGCCTGAAAAGTACTTGTATACAACTTCCTATTATAGGTCCTGTTTCAGTACTGCTTGCTTAATCCAGAGAAACAATATTCTCAGCATTTCAATAATAGCTTGAAATGTGCAGTCAAACATTTAATTGTTGTATACTGAGATATCTCCCATTACACCAATCTCAATGTCAGCTTTCCTGTTAATTCTATTTCTTGGCTACATTTTTATGGCTTGTTTATAGGTTTCCTGTAGTGAAGAGCCATCACTCTAAATGAAGCCTCATTGGATTCATACAAGGTTTTAATAATCTTCAAACCCTTAATTAAAAAAAATATTTCAATCAGTCTTAGAACTCTAGATGTATATTTTGGCTTTCAGAAAGAACATTATATAAAACAGGCAAAAGAGTCTTTTGGCCCATTGACATCATTAATTAAAGAAAATAATCTAATCTACATATAAATATGTCCATTTCCATTCATAAAATTATCCAGCAAAAACTCAAATGAGGTTAAATTGCATAACTCATTGTCTGCCAAACAATTCCTCAAGTTAATGTCTACAACAATAAAACGTTTTTTTAGGGCTGATCTTAATGGGCTTAATGGTTTTTGTCATCTTTTTCTATGTTCTCGACCACCTGTGTCAATCTATCTCTGTGTCAGCTGATATTTTTCCTTTTTTTTTATTGAACATTATTATATATAAACGTTTTATCATACATGTATGTGTTTGAAGTATGCACTAAGTATGTATATATCCAAATGCTTATTGAACTTTTTACTAGAGTACAGAAATGTTTACAAGAGAATCAATACATTTTACTCTGAAACCTTGCCTCTAAATTCTCATTTATACATTTGTACCGGTTTGGTTTCTTCACATCTTGGGATGAAACTGCACATTTCCTTCTGATTTAGTGATCGGTCAGAATTGGTATTCTTTTTTTAAATGATGTATGTCTCGCATCGTATATTGGAAAATACTGATAATGTGGTAATCTCCAATGTTAATATAAAAAAAATGCCATTTTTCCCTGCTGAAATATAAAGCTAAAGCTCACTTGTGATAATGCAAAAATAAAATTCATGTGTATGTTGACGTAATGTTAACTTTTATAAACACTAGGACAAGATAGCCAAGTGTAAATTAAAGTAAGTGATAGACTTTGCCAAGAAAATATATTTGAAAAAGGGAAAATTGGTCTCGCCCCACTCAACAAACTCCAGATCACTTCCTCTCATATATCACAAATTTTTCACTTTTTCAGGCTAATTGTACAAGGTTTGAAACTTTTCCATTTTTCTTCTTAATGAAACTTGTGAATAATTTGATTTACTAGAAAATGTATGTCTTGAGGCTATCATTGTAACTCTAAAGGCAGAAAGGAATTACTTATTAAGATAAATTTGTCTCTTATTGACAGTTTTTGCTCTAGAGTGCTATGTTTGCACTAATCAAGAAAACAATGAAGACAAGTGTGTGAAAACAATAAAAACATGTGAACCAATGGAAGAGAGGTGCCTCTCTGAAGTTAAGTGGGGAAGTAAGTGTTTGTTTTTATATGTATTCATAACTTTAATTGACAAATTGAAACAATTACAATAAGAGTAAACTTCTGTTATATTCCATTAAAGAGTGTAGGATAATGCTTTGCTCTGAAACTTTTTTCCAGTTGTTTTTAAACAAATGTGTCATTTGAGTTCCACAGTCCAAATTCCAGTTCTTTGTGTGAAACTGAAACAATAGATCTTTGAATTAAACCAATCTTAATATTTCTCACTATGCTTTTCACATAATTATTTCACACATTAATCAGCCAGAAGTTAAAGTAGTTCTGTTTAAAGACATGGGCATAAGCCTAATGTAGTTGTTCAAGTTCAACAACCTTTAAATGTTATCAGTGTTCCATATTCTTATCTTCTGAAACTTGGCAATTGTCAGTAATCCCAGAAGGATATAGCATTATGAACAAGAAATCATTAGGTCTTTGAAGGCTGTCTTGTCTCACTCTTTCTCTGAGAAAAAGTAAAAGTTTAAATCCACCCTTTGTTTTAAGGAATTCATTTATTTCCTTCTTAAACTCTTGCAAAGTGCTGGTTTATGTTACTACTGGTGGCAATGAATTCTTTAAGGATTTCTGTTGTCTTCAAAACAAAGCACAAAGAAATCAAACCCTTTATCCTATTAATGACCCCTGTATAATTTTGTAAGCTACAATCACATCATCTCTTTCTTTCTTTTCTCAAGAGAAAACAAGTTAAGAGATCTCAACCTGTCCTCTTAAAATAATCCTTCCATTCTAGGAATCATTCTAGTTGCCCTCCTCTGAACATCTTTCTATTGAGTAAATATCTTTTCTTAGGTAACAAGGTCAAAACTGCAAACAGTATTTTATGTTAGGCATAACAACTAATTTGTATGAGGAGATAATTACTTCTCGAGCAACTCCTCATCCATTTTAAAAGTGGAAGTTAATTTTAGTAGCTGTCCAATCCTCCAGCAAGTGTTCACTTTCTATGGACCTACTAAAAATGAGTGAGGCTCACCTCTTTTATCTTTGAACTCCTTTAAAATCCTGAGAAGAAACAAAACAAGGGTGCTTTGCATCATATTTATCCTTATGCATTATTTATCTCAATGTACCTGTACATTTAAATGCTACCTATCCTTCATGTAGACTATTCCTATAACAGTCATTTTATTCAATCCCCTAACCAGTTTGAACACACAAATCAAGGCCTCTCTTGATTCACCTAATTCCAGTTATAAATTAGGGAATGTGCTGATGTCAAATTTCAAACTCAAATGAGGAACCATTTTAGAACTTTTCTCTATATCACCTTCAGGACATATACTTTAATAAGAAACAAATTGAAGATATCCTGAAACTAAGTTTCATACAAAGCAATTACATGTTATAATTCAAATTATGGTATCTCAGGTGCACTATAATGCATTTATTATAATTAAAAGCTATCCGCCCAATTTATGAAATAATCTGAGCATCTTCCTTGTAGCCAGCAACACCAAAATCCTTAATATCAGCTAAATTAAGTAGTTCATTGACCATTCTTACATCTGTGTTATTGAAGTAAATGAATAAGAGCAAAAGTCCTAACAGTGAACCCTGATGTATCTCATTTATGACATAAATTCAGGTTGGCTCAACTCCAATTATAACAATCTTCTGATCTTTTCCATCCAGTCACTTCTTTTATCCATGAGCCAACCTTTCTCCTAAGTCTACAGAGAACTTTTTAACAAGCCTTTTATGGGGTTCCTTGTCAAATGCTTTCTGAAAATCTCAGTACACCAAATCCACACGTACCCTCATCTACATAAGCAGAAACCTTTTCAAAGAAAATGTTGAAAGATTAGTAAGGCAAGATTTTCCTCTAGTGAAACCATGCTATCCAACAAAATTTTGAACTTTGTTAAATGTCCTTGCAAAACAGATGTGAGATTAGTTGGCTTATGATTACTGGAACAGTTTTTATCACCTCACTTGAAAAAGAGAAGTAATGTTAGTCAGGTTCCAGTCTTTTGGCACCTACCCAGTATTTAAGGACTTAAAAATGAATAGTAGCAAGTGGCTTACATACCCAATCTTTAACCTTCTTCAAAACCCTTGGAAATGTATTATTTGGGCTAGAAGCATTATCATTCTGTAACCTTCCCAATTTTTTCTTCACAAGCTCAGATTTAATGTTTCCAAAACATACTTACCTCTGCTGACACTATTAGCTATTTCTCGATCTCCAGGAATTCCACTCTTTGCCCATCTAAGCATTTTCAATGCTTACTCCAGTCTTTTATACCCCACTCAAATGCCCTTGGCAAATTCTCATTTGCAAAATTCTCCACCAACTTCAATGCACTCTCTGTCTAGGTACTGTATATAAGCACCTCATTTAGATAATGTAATCACTTTTTCTCAACAAATTATTTGGCATGGGTTTCTGTAAACAAGAGTGTTGTGATTCACAATTTACGTTGCGACTTTGAACATTGTTGGCATTACTACGGTTATATCTTCATTTATATTTATAAAAACTTTAACAAAAAAAAATGTACTGACAGGGATGATTCCCAAGTTAATGTTTCTACTGCAGAGGCCAACCAGACCTCTTCTTTTCCACCTCTGCTATCTGGTGTTTGTCAACTGCCAAGGGAGGGGTTACTCTCAGTCAAAGCTGTCCTTGATGTGATCCGTTGTGAGATGGAGACATATATGTGGACCGTGGGTGTGTCTCTGAGAGGTTCTGAGGCAGATTTTGCCAATGATCCAGGACCAGCTGGTGAGAAATTAGAATCAATTTTTTTCGGCTCCTTTTACTAGGTCGGCCTCAACAGAGGATCATTTTGATCAGCCACGTCAGCCAGATTGTCTTCTTCAGTTCTTTCTTTGGTTTCTTGGCTGGTTTGTTTGTTTACTGTCTTCTGCCCTTGGGGAGTTACATGAAGCTCCTTTTCTCTGTCCCATGTTGTTTGCTGGAGTTCCAGAGACAATAGAATCACATATTGATTCAGCTTGTTTACATTCTTCTTTATCATTGTTGGCTTCTCGCCTTTCTGGTGCTAATTTGGGAGTGTTTCCCAACCCCCTCCTTCAGTTCCAAAGTCTGTTGGTTCTCATAATAGAGTCCGTCGGTATTCTCGAGGTTGTTTGGCTTGGGCGGACCGTTGACAATGGCATCAGTGACTATCCCATGGGTTTGGGAGCAGTGGGAGCACGATTACACCACTTTCTGGACATTTGGAGTTCTTTCACCAGGGATCTATGGGTACTCCATGTTCTAGCTTCAAGGTTGGTCATTCAGTTTACATCACCTCCACTATTATCTGCACAATTTGTTGCCTTTTCACCTCCAACAGATCCATGGTGAGCGGAGCTTTGTTCCCAGGCCAAAAGAGAGTTGTTAGTCAAAAGGGCAGTAGAGAGGATTGATCCCATTCTTCTAGTATTTTATTCCCATTTATTTGTTGTACCCAAGAAGCAGGAGATTGGCTTCCAATCATCGATCTGTCTCAACTCAACCAATTTTTAGATCACCTTCGCTTTACAATGGAATCTTTTCTAAACCTACGATGACACTTTGTGCCAGGGCTCTGGATAGCCAAGTTGGATGTTACTGATGCTTATCTCCATATTCCCATAGCAGAATCTTCCCAAAGGTTTCTCAAATATGTACATAAGGGTCAGGTGTTGCAGTTCAGGGTACCTTTTGGTCTTGCATCAGCACCTGGTGTCTTCTGCAGAGTTGTTTGAGCTTTTTCTCATCACTTGCATTCCTTGGGCCTGAGCGCACATCATTATTTGGACGACTGGCTCCTTCTGGCACCATCCCATCAATTAGCAGATTCTCCTTTCAGGAGCCACAAAAGCGGGCTTCCTTATCAGACTGGAGAAATCTATTCTGTCACTGACACAATATCTTGTTCATCTGGGTGTGTTCTTCAATACTCACCAAAGTTGTGCTCAACCAACACCTATCAGGTTTCAAGCCATGGAAACAGCTGTTAGGCTTTTAATTTTGTCCCCTATTCCTACTGCACAAATGGTTCTCTCTCTTTTGGAGATGTGGGCATCCCTCAAGCCTCTCATTCCATTGGGATGAACACATATGAGGTCACTGTGTGACCAATGGATCATGCATTCTGATCCTTTGTATCATCCTGTCTCATTACTCAGCAGCAACATCATCAGTTGCGAATGGTGGTTGGACTGGAACAACACTACTATTGGGGTACCCATTCCACTACCTCATCCCAAGATCCATCTGTTCACAGGTGCATCTCCTCAGGGCTGGGGGAGCTTATGTTCAAAGCTTATGTTTGAATTCCAAGGTATTTAGACGGAAGATGAGTCTACCCCCCATATCAAAGTTCTCAAACTCCTTGCAGTACACTGGGCAATGATTCAAGGTCTGTCTCTTTTGAAGGGAAAAATTGTCTTGATACATTCCGACAATTCCATGGTGGTATCTTATGTTTCTTGTCAAGGAGGCACACATTCTTGAGACCTTTGTTTTCTTACCTTGGATCGTTTCTACTGAACTCATTCCAATCATATCAGTCTTTTAGCATGTCATGTTCCAGGAGTGACAAATTTAATTGCAGATCACTTGTCTCGACCCAACTGGATTTTTCCAATGGAGTGGAGGCTACATTATGAGGTTTTTCAGTGGATTTGCTCTCAGTTCGTGTCTTCAATAGTCAATGCATTTGCAACTCATTGGAATTCTCAACTGCAATTGTTTCAGTCTTTGATACCTCATCCTCAAGTGTCAGCAGTAGATACATTCAGTCAGGACTGGAGAGGTTTACATCTGTATGCCTTTCCTCCCTATTTGGCTACTGCTTCGGTTTCTGGCTATGGTTTGTTCCACTACCTGTTGAGTTCTCTTGGGTGCACCATATTGGCCAGACATGTATCTGCAGGAATTTCCATATCTACCTCTTCCACATTGGCAGTCTCTATTGAGACAACCTCAATCATACATTCTCCACCCAGATGTTCGGAAACTCAGTGTTCATGCTTGG